GTGTGCCCCCCTCCATGTTCATATAGAAAGTTTTTTATTATTGAAGAATAATAGAAAGGACGGATGTGCGGATCTATCGCTTGTCACGTGCAGGAGGACGCAGGGATCCCAGCGACAGACGTAGATATTGTAGGATGGACAGGACAGCCTTCAGATATTTCGGGGCCCCTTACATGAGTGTCCTCTTGGGACATTATCCAGTGAATGTGACGTTTGACATTGGGGGTACTAAGGGACGAGGATTTCCAAGACTTGGCTATTTCCCTCTTTGCAGCTGTAGATCCGTTATTTTTAACAGTGAAATTGTTCAGTGGCGTTGTCACCCTGTGGGCAGGATAGTATGAGATGGACAAACAAATCAAAGCCCAGCTCCGGCTGACACGTTTAATGCAATTATGAAGTTTCATTCTCTTTGATTGAAAGATAAAGGGTTAGGGTTAGAGTCAGGTGGGGTTTGGGTTAGGGGTTTGGGTTAGGGGTTTGGGTTAGGGGTTTGGGTTAGGGGTTTGGGTTAGGGGTTTGGGTTAGGGGTTTGGGTTAGGGGTCAGGGGTTTGGGTTAGGGTTTGGGTTAGGGGTTAGGGGTGGGGTTAGGGTTTTCCCTGTGGTGGTCTGTTAGGAGATGGGTTAGGGGTTAGGGTTTAGGGTTAGGGGTTAGGGTTTTCCCTGTGGTGGTCCGTTAGGAGATCCGTTAGGGTTAGGGTTAGGGTTAGGGTTAGGGGTTAGGGTTTTCCCTGTGGTGGTCGGTTAGGAGATGGGTTAGGATTAGGGGTTAGGGGTAGGGGTTAGGGTTTGGGTTAGGGGTTAGGGTTTTCCCTGTGGTGGTCCGTTAGGAGATGGGTTAGGATTAGGGGTTAGGGTTAGGAGATGGGTTAGGGGTTAGGGTTAGGAGATGGGTTAGGGGTCAGGGGTTAGGGATTAGGGGTTAGGGTTTTCCCTGTGGTGGTCCGTTAGGAGATGAGACATTTGCTTTTCAATCTTAGGGTTAGGGTTAGGGGTTAGGGTTAGGGTTAGGGGTTAGGGGTTTGGGTTAGGGGTTAAGGTTAGGGGTTAGGGTTTTCCCTGTGGTGGTCCGTTAGGAGATGGGTTAGGGTTAGTGGTTAGGGGTTTGGGTTAGGGTTAGGGTTAGGGGTTAGGGTTAGGGGTTAGGGTTTTCCCTGTGGTGGTCCTTTAGGAGATGGGTTAGGGTTAGTGGTTAGGGGTTAGGGTTTGGGTTAGGGGTTAGGGGTCAGGGGTTAGGGTCAGGGGTTAGGGTTTTCCCTGTGGTGGTCCGTTAGGAGATGGGTTAGTGGTTAGGGGTTAGGGTTAGGGTTAGGGTTAGTGGTTAGGGGTCAGGGGTTAGGGTTTTCCCTGTGGTGGTCCGTTAGGAGATGAGACATTTGCTTTTCAATCTTAGGGTTAGGGTTAGGGGTTAGGGTTTGGGTTAGGGGTTAGGGTTGGGGTTAGGGTTGGGGTTGGGGTTAGGGGCTAGGGTTAGGGTTTTCCCTGTGGTGGTCCGTTAGGAGATGAGACATTTGCTTTTCAATCTTAGGGTTAGAGGTTAGGGGTTTGGGTTAGGGGTTTGGGTTAGGGGTTATGGTTGGGGTTAGGGGTTAGGGTTTTCCCTGTGGTGGTCCGTTAGGAGATGAGACATTTGCTTTTCAATCTTAGGGTTAGAGGTTAGGGGTTTGGGTTAGGGGTTTGGGTTAGGGGTTATGGTTGGGGTTAGGGGTTAGGGTTTTCCCTGTGGTGGTCCGTTAGGAGATGAGACATTTGCTTTTCAATCTTAGGGTTAGAGGTTAGGGGTTTGGGTTAGGGGTTTGGGTTAGGGGTTATGGTTGGGGTTAGGGGTTAGGGTTTTCCCTGTGGTGGTCCGTTAGGAGATGAGACATTTGCTTTTCAATCTTAGGGTTAGAGGTTAGGGGTTTGGGTTAGGGGTTTGGGTTAGGGGTTATGGTTGGGGTTAGGGGTTAGGGTTTTCCCTGTGGTGGTCCGTTAGGAGATGAGACATTTGCTTTTCAATCTTAGGGTTAGAGGTTAGGGGTTTGGGTTAGGGGTTTGGGTTAGGGGTTATGGTTGGGGTTAGGGGTTAGGGTTTTCCCTGTGGTGGTCCGTTAGGAGATGAGACATTTGCTTTTCAATCTTAGGGTTAGAGGTTAGGGGTTTGGGTTAGGGGTTTGGGTTAGGGGTTATGGTTGGGGTTAGGGGTTAGGGTTTTCCCTGTGGTGGTCCGTTAGGAGATGAGACATTTGCTTTTCAATCTTAGGGTTAGAGGTTAGGGGTTTGGGTTAGGGGTTTGGGTTAGGGGTTATGGTTGGGGTTAGGGGTTAGGGTTTTCCCTGTGGTGGTCCGTTAGGAGATGAGACATTTGCTTTTCAATCTTAGGGTTAGAGGTTAGGGGTTTGGGTTAGGGGTTTGGGTTAGGGGTTATGGTTGGGGTTAGGGGTTAGGGTTTTCCCTGTGGTGGTCCGTTAGGAGATGAGACATTTGCTTTTCAATCTTAGGGTTAGAGGTTAGGGGTTTGGGTTAGGGGTTTGGGTTAGGGGTTATGGTTGGGGTTAGGGGTTAGGGTTTTCCCTGTGGTGGTCCGTTAGGAGATGAGACATTTGCTTTTCAATCTTAGGGTTAGAGGTTAGGGGTTTGGGTTAGGGGTTTGGGTTAGGGGTTATGGTTGGGGTTAGGGGTTAGGGTTTTCCCTGTGGTGGTCCGTTAGGAGATGAGACATTTGCTTTTCAATCTTAGGGTTAGAGGTTAGGGGTTTGGGTTAGGGGTTTGGGTTAGGGGTTATGGTTGGGGTTAGGGGTTAGGGTTTTCCCTGTGGTGGTCCGTTAGGAGATGAGACATTTGCTTTTCAATCTTAGGGTTAGGGGTTAGGGTTTAGGCTTTGGGTTAGGGGTTAGGGTTAGGGGTTAGGGTTGGGGTCAGGGGTTAGGGTCAGGGGTTAGGGTCAGGGGTTAGGGTCAGGGGTAAGGGTTAGGGTTTGGGTTAGGGGTTAGGGTTGGGGTCAGGGGTTAGGGTCAGGGTCAGGGGTTAGTGTTTTCCCTGTGGTAAGGGTTAGGGATCAGGGGTTAGGGGTCAGGGGTTAGGGTCAGGGGTCAGGGGTTTTCCCTGTGGTAAGGGTTAGGGTCAGGGGTTAGGGGTCAGGGGTTAGGGTCAGGGTTTTCCCTGTGGTAAGGGTTAGGGGTTGGGTTAGGGGTTAGGGTCAGGGGTTAGGGTTGGGGTCAGGGGTTAGGGTCAGGGGTTAGGGTTTTCCCTGTGGTAAGGGTTAGGGTCAGGGGTTAGGGTCAGGGGTCAGGGGCTAGGGTTTTCCCTGTGGTAAGGGTTAGGGGTTGGGTTAGGGTCAGGGGTTAGGGTTGGGGTCAGGGGTTAGGGTCAGGGGTTAGGGGTTAGGGTTTGGGTTAGGGGTTAGGGGTCAGGGGTTAGGGTCAGGGGTCAGGGGTTTTCCCTGTGGTAAGGGTTAAGGGTTAGGGTCAGGGGTTAGGGGTCAGGGGTTAGGGTCAGGGTTTTCCCTGTGGTAAGGGTTAGGGGTTGGGTTAGGGGTTAGGGTCAGGGGTTAGGGTTGGGGTCAGGGGTTAGGGTCAGGGGTTAGGGTTTTCCCTGTGGTAAGGGTTAGGGTCAGGGGTTAGGGTCAGGGGTCAGGGGCTAGGGTTTTCCCTGTGGTAAGGGTTAGGGGTTGGGTTAGGGTCAGGGGTTAGGGTTGGGGTCAGGGGTTAGGGTCAGGGGTTAGGGGTTAGGGTTTGGGTTAGGGGTTAGGGGTCAGGGGTTAGGGTCAGGGGTCAGGGGTTTTCCCTGTGGTAAGGGTTAAGGGTTAGGGTCAGGGGTTAGGGGTCAGGGGTTAGGGTCAGGGTTTTCCCTGTGGTAAGGGTTAGGGGTTGGGTTAGGGGTTAGGGTCAGGGGTTAGGGTTGGGGTCAGGGGTTAGGGTCAGGGGTTAGGGTTTTCCCTGTGGTAAGGGTTAGGGTCAGGGGTTAGGGTCAGGGGCCAGGGGCTAGGGTTTTCCCTGTGGTAAGGGTTAGGGGTTTGGGTTAGGGGTTTGTGTTAGGGGTTTGGGTTAGGGGTTTGGGTTAGGGGTTTGGGTTAGGGGTTAGGGTTTTCCCTGTGGTGGTCCGTTAGGAGATGAGACATTTGCTTTTCAATCTTAGGGTTAGGGGTTAGGGGTTTGGTTTAGGGGTAGGGTTTGGGTTAGGGGTCAGGGGTTTGGGTTAGGGGTCAGGGTTTTCCCTGTGGTGGTCCGTTAGGAGATGAGACATTTGCTTTTCAATCTTAGGGTTAGGGGTTAGGGGTTTGG